AATTAACAATTTTAACCAAAGTGATATTTGGCTAATATCACCCGCCTGGCTCGACTTGACCCCCCAAGTAGGGAGCCTTTACCCGGGTTTAAAAATAAGCAAAATGATTACTAAAAATTATAATTCTATAAAGAAATTTAATCTTCTTGAATGAAAGTGTGTAACAGTTTAATTCTTTGAGGTTTTCAAAAAAATCAGCAACGTTTTTTCTATTAAAACTGGTTGATCTGGATAAACTGGTTTCTACTGGGGCAACACCTCTAATAATTTTCCTTTATCAATGTTACATACCTACTTATAGCATTTCTTATGGACAAATCTAAATTGCTCCTGTTTCTAGATGTTCCTTTTTATATTAGAAGCCTTTCAAATAATTTTGGATGATTATCTGCAATAAAAGTACCAGATTACCCTGGGTAAAGTCTCCTCCCGATGCCAGGGCAATATCTCCCACCCCAGGCCAAGCTGTCCATTATTACATTTTTATAAAAAACTATAACACTTAAGTAAAAACTGTGTACCGTAAATGGTACTAGGATAATTACATTTACGATGTATATAAATGACATGCTGGAATCTATTTATAGTAAACAACTGAAATCAAATATCGAAAATTGAAAAAAGTTACTTTCTGGGCTCGAAAATGTGTTATCACTTGTCACTCCTAAACCAAACTGCCAATCGCAACGGCATAGGTGGGACGAGCCTATGGAGTCTAAGAAGTTTGGCTACTTCGCAATATTTAGTTCCACAAAAAATCTATGAGCAGTGGCTATTGTCTCCCACCTGCTAAACTCTCCCGGACTCCCCCTACTAATTTAATTAGTCTACACTCTACACAAATAAAGATAATTTTGATTTTGATATCCCGGTAGAATTTTTAATTAAATAGTTTATAATAAAACCGGAAAAACGTTGCTGTGAACTTTTTGATTGATGTTAGTTACCTCTGTTTGTCTTGCAAGCGAGGATTTATCGTAAGTTAATTGCAGTTTTACTTTAAATAACGACTGCGGACTTTAATATTTCAAACATCATAAATATGCCGAAACACTCGTTACCATTATGACAAATATTATAATTAAAATGTCAACCTGAATCAGTTGAATCGAAACAATAGGTACAGCCTTTGACTAAAACCTTGCTGAACTAGTATTCCTAGAAACAGGATTTAGAGTTCTCTTTGTTTATACTGTTAGCTTAATCTAAAACCATAACGCTCGTTACGTGCACACAAAGCGAAATATTCATCCAAATCATCAAGGACTGGGTGGCTTTGCAATCAGTGTCCAAATTTTAGGAGTGACCCAGAATCAGTAACTTAATCGATTTACGTAAAGAAAACCAATGTTTCAAAATTGGCTAACGTGGATAATATTGTGCTTCGTTCATAGAAAAATACGTCCATACAGTTAATTGCAAAGCTTAATAGACATAAGGAGCGCGAAAATTTATGCCTATGCCTTTAAAACTTAAGATCTGGGCACCTGCGAATTAGACTTTCAACATTTTTTTATGCGAAAACTACAACGTTTAAAAATGATTAAGATAAAGTTGTATTGTTAAATTAGTTCTATAAATCTTATTAAAAAAAGGATACTGATTACAAAGTCACCCTGTATATGTAGGAAGTAGTACAAAATCTTATGTAGGTGAAATAAATAGATTGTTGTACTGTTAAAGCTCAAGTTATGCTGCTGGACAAAATTTCACGATATTAAACTTAAAACGTGTGAAACTCCTCGAACATAAATAATGCACCACAATACTTGTTGTCCTGTGACCAGTATCATGACATGTTAAGCTCTAAGCTTTATACTATTAACCAAAGATGCGCATGCAACTTGGAGTCACCATGTAGTTTGACTTATGCCACAATAACTACTTACGACTCGCCCATTATTACCAGGCTGTGTTATTGATACCAACCAGAAACAACTGCCGCACTGCTTGTCAGTTGTTTCCAACTTCTAGATGCTAAATTTAAGCTTGTAAATGGTCACCGCTTTATCTGACAAGTTAACAAGTTGTTTCATTAAACTAACAAGGCGTTTACTCACAAAATATTGGTATCACCACGAAAGTAACACAAATAATAACCACTTATTTTGTTAAACTTTTAGTATAAATTTTAACTTGATATTTCCACGCGTTCCTGAGAAATAGGGTCGAAAGGACGGACAGACAACAAAGTGATAAAGTGATCCTTTAAGGGTTCCGTTTTTTAGGGTTCCGTAGTCCTGACAAAGAACTCATATAGTTTCTGTCTGTCCGAGGTTTTGCTTGGAAACTATTGGCACTAGAGAGCTGTAATTTTGTGGAGGTATGTATATTAATCACGTCGACAAAACTAAACTGTTAGTTTGAAAAATTTGGAAACATTCGCAATAATACCTACTGCTTTTCATGAACATTCAAGGAAATCTATAACGTTTAAGATACATCAGTTAGTTAAGAGTAATAGTCATTTAACTCATGTAATATAAAATTTCTTAACTAGTAAATAATCCTTAGAATAAAATATTAAAAGTGACTTTAGATGAACCTAATTGCTTGCTTCTAAAATATATTGTGTTAACGATGGACAACTACGGAACCCTACACTGCGCGTGGCACGACACGCACTTGGCTAATTTATTTCCCTTTGACATAGGGAACCCTAAAAATAATCTGAAGGTACAAAAATGTAGCTATATTTTGTAAAAATTTTGCAAAAGCCACGGTCTATCTTATGATAATGGAATTAAGTCTTAATTTATCGGTTTAATTTCGTTCATCTGAATTTTATTATAAAAACTGAAGTTAAAAATTATATTATTGTGCTTCATATTATTATTAATCGTCCCAGTTTTCGCAAATCGAGATACTCAAAAGGTTAAAATTAACTTGTTTCGCGTGTGACACGATAAATATAGCAAAACGTTTCGTTTTAATTTTAAATATTCCCTTTTTGTAATGTGATAATCTTGTATCGTGTTTTATAAATTGTAAATATCTACCATTAAAACGACTGCAATTTGTTTATCAATGAAAGCATTCTATTGTTGATTTTATACAAATATATTAATAAAAAGTAATGCTACTAGCTCTATTTTTAATAGGTTTTCAAAGGTTATTTGTCAGTACAATAAATCTAAAAATCACTAGTAGTCCAGTAGAATTAGCTTTTAAATCGGAAATAATTCCAACAAAAGATTTTATTGTTTTAATGGCTTCATTGGTTGCCCATTAAGATTCTCCTAAGTTTTCGACTTCGGCGGAGTTGTGCTTAAGTGGTGGGGGCCCCCGAAAGAGGCATTTTTTCGGTTTTCCGGTTATACCGCGTAAAGGACTTACCCTATCAAAAAGTGGTCTTCATGACGGTTGAAGGGCACTTAATCCTGCATTGAATAAGACCAAATTCATATGTTTTGGACAAACCGTTCTCGCGCTAAAGTTCGGCAAAGTAGAAAATATACGTATAATTAATGACCCTCTCCACGTCCAATGGTTTGTTACCCACAGGCTTCCAAGTCTTGAAAAGGGCCACCTCAACCAGTGTAACCCTATCAAGGCTTACGAGCTTGATGCGCCTATCCTTGTTCGTCCCAGCCGTCCTTAACTGCGGTTGCTGCACCTCTTCCTGGCACTCACCTGAACGACTCTGTGTTACCTACTGTGGCTGCCCCTCTTCCTTGTATCCTCCTGCATGACTACGTTGCCTAGCCGTATGCCTGGTCTAAGGTTCGACGCCAAAAATCAACAACAACAAGTTCATATTAAAACGCTGAAGAGTTTTTTGTTTGTTTGTTTGAACGCGCTAATCTTAAGAATTACTAGTTTGATTGAAATCATTATTTTTGTGTTGAATAGCTCATACATTGAGGAAGGCTATAGGATATATACAATCACTCTACGACTAATAGAGGCGAAGCAGTAAAGAAAAATGTTGCAAGCACGGGAAATAGTATTTAAACTATTTTCACTCGTACGAAGTTGATTTTGTGGCGTCGAACCTTGGACCAGGCATATGGCTAAGCAATGAAATCGTACAGGAGGGTACAAGGAAGAGGGGCAGCCACATTAGGTAACACAGAGTCGTTCAGGAGAGTGCCAGGAAGAGGTGCAGCAACCGCAGTTAAGGAACGGCTGGGACGAACAAGGATAAGCGAATCAAACTCGTGAGCCTTGTTAGGGTTACACTGGTTAAGGCGACCCTTTACAAGGCTTGGAAGCATGTGGGTAACAAGCCATTGGACGTGGAGAGGGTCATTAATTATACGTATATTTTCTACTTTGCCGAACTTTAGCGCGAGAACGGTTTGTCCAAAACATATGAATTTGGTCTTATTCAATGCAGGATTAAGTGCCCTTTAACCATCATGAAGACCACTTTTCGATAGGGTAAGTCCTTTACGCGGTATAACCGGAAAACCGAAAAAACGCCCCTTTCGGGGGCCCCCACCACTTAAGCACAACTCCGTCGAAGTCGAAAACTTAGGAGAGTCTTAATGGGCAACCAATGAAGCCATTAAAGCAAAAAAATCTTTTGTTGGAATTATTTCCGATTTAATCAATTTTTGTGTTTAATTCTACTGGCCTATAGCTTTATTAAAACTTTAACATTAGGTAGGTACTTGAAAGGCTGCAATATACGTGATAGAGTTAATACCCTAGGCAGCATAGCATCCCAATTGTCGTGTACACCTAATTTAAAACTACATCCTCCCTCATGTTACGGGCTACCGGCAAACTAACTTTTGTTAAAGGGCCCTCATATTATATTAAACTGGCGAGAATCGATTCCGGGATCCCTTGCGCACATGGAAATTCACCGCGTCACTGCGCCATTGGACCGACAAATATAAATTATCCACAGTTCTTTGAAATACTTACTCGTAGACAGCCTGTATTTTTTCTCACGTTTACCGAACCTTTATCGAGTTCCGCTCAAGCAAAATTTTCTAAATTCGACCAAAATCCGCAAGTTATGGCGTATTCACCCTGTGTTTTGTTTCCAGGGGAGCGGGTGGAGGAGGGATGTTTGGTGACGTCAATATCTCAGCCATTTTGGATTCACTCAGTGTAAGCTACGACAAGAGAGTGAGGCCAAATTATGGAGGTCAGTGCCCTTATTATTTTTTAATTAATTCTATTTTTTTTGTAGGGTAAACCAGAGAGTGATTGCCCACTGGTAGTGATTGCCCGCTTTAAGAATAATATTGTCAGGTGCTGACTTTGAATCACTCTAGTTATATTTGAATTTACTAAGTAGATGGCTCCGAGATCAATGTAGTTACAGTAGATTTAAAATTTACAATAGGAAGTCTAAAAAAACAGTTATGGCGGATTTTGTCAAGACGGGTGAAAATGTTACTCAAACTGGTAAAGACTTTAACAATTTTACTAAGGAGTTACTTGCTTAGAGGTTAAATTTTTTTTGCAAGTCACTTAATATTCAACTAATGGTGTATAGTCATGATGAAATTATAAGTGTTTTCTCCATTATCAATGAAAATAACTGATAAAATTTGATTTCTAACGGTCATTTTAACGGTGGGTAATCACTGCACGTAAATCTGTATATTTTTAGTTATTGCCCACCATCATTTCAGTTATTGCCATATGTTAATGTATAGTTATTGCCCAGAGTAATTATTATTAGAGTGTTGCCACCATGCAGTAGCAGTGTTTAAGTTGCTCATTGCTAGACTTGTTTTGCAATTTACAGGCATAAATATTAAAATGGCTTTAATTAATGTTTCATTTTCAGTATGCCAAAGACTCCAAAAGTTCAATATAGCATGGAAAATTTGCAAAAAGCGATCAAAGCTGTACAAGATGTATCCAACAATTTATCTACAAGATAAATTGCTGAAAAATATGATTTGGCTTGAAAAAATTTATAAAAATTCAAACGCAAATACAAAAAATGAAAATCCTACCTTAAATCTACTAGTGAAAATGTTAATTGTAAGGAAATAGATACACCTTTAGGGAAGAATAACCAACAGCTAATTGAACATTCTGAGCAACCACTTGAACTGATATCAAAGAAGATAAAAAAATAAATACATATAAAATTTACATATAAAATTCAAATTTTTGCGTCATCTATGGTTTGAAGTAGAGATGATTCTGTCTCTACCGATTCTGACTCATCAACATCAGCTCAAGAAATATTTGATAATATGTTAATAAGGCCAAACGTAATTTATTTTGATGAAGACTGTACTACTAGAATTTAAGTTTGATGTTTTGTTTTGTTTATTTAAAGCCTATTTTGTCATTTTAAAATTGATTATTTTGTTTTAAGATACTGGGCAATTACTGTGCTTTGATGCGGGCAATTAGTGTAAGTAATGGGCAATAACTGTACTTTTTGGAGGATTTTAAATTTATTTCAATATTTTCTAAGTTACGTAAGTTTTAACTAAAAACTGTTAATATTCTGTTTAACAGTTTATTGAGTTATAAGAAAAAAGTCATAAATGGTCGATAATTAAAATACTTTCTTTAATTTTTCATCGCAATGTGTTTGAAATCTTTAAGTGGGCAATAGCTATACGGTTTACCCTATAATATGCTTAGCTTTTGCGCTTATGAAGAAGTGCTATTTGCAAGTAAATTTTTATATTGTATATACATTTTGTATTTCTCATAATTAAAAATCATGATAATTTAAAAACATATCTCATAAGTAAAAAAATCAAATTCAGTACGTAGTTCACTAAAATGATTACAGTTACAATGATCAGTCTGAACAAAATCTTCCAAATGTACAGTAAGTAGACAAGTACACAAAGTTTTGTTGTACTTCAATTATTCACCCGAATGTTTTAACCGTTACATAATACTATTAATAATAACCATGCGAGCAAAATTAAATTAACAACAACACAAAATAATTTAATTTAGTGAGTTAGTGATAAATAATTGGTTGTAAACAATAACACGTACGAAATAAAATTGAGGAATTGATATTTTGTCATCATCAACAGCCCTTTACAGTCCACTGCTGGACTATGAGCCTCCTCCACTATAGTGGAGGGTTTTGCCATAATCTCCACGCTTGGCAGGCGGGTTGGAGATCGCAGTTTAAAATATTGATGTTTTTCAGAGAGCGCTGCTGCCCATTCTCTGTTTGATGTGTAGTCCCTAAGTCGCCTCTTACGACACCCGCGGGAAGAGTAGGGGTTGGTGACAAATGTATTCTACTCTGCCGTCACCACACGGCTAATATTTTGTGATATTTTGTATTCGCCAACAATTAACTGTTCAACTAATAAAAACGTCCATTAATTCCAAGCAGCAGTATTTTTAATTGTCAATAAGTAGTCACATACATAGTACAACATACAATAAATAAAATTATCTGAAAGACTATTAACTTTCGAGACTCAAGAGTACCTGTACAACTTGACAAACTCTTAGATTGAAGTGACTTAAAAATAACTAGCTCTTGTTGTGTTTTTAAATATTCCATTTCAGCAGGTCACTATAAAATCATTGTATTCCAAGTTGTAGTTCAGATTAATCACTCTCCATTTCAATGTTAAAAATAATGATGATTAAAATGATGATAATACATATCATACGAGTAACGAAAACCCAAAATGTAATGAAATGTTCTGTGATTTGAGTTTTGCAATTTCATTTTATTACCCGACTGCGCCAGAAGGAGGGTTATTTTTTTAACATGGTTCTGCTACATGCACTTAAAAATTGCTCGTGAATTGCAATAGGCTATAATATTCTATTGCATAACATATAAGATGATACCAAAATGTATAATATTTCAATAAAAGTACATTAAACTGTGTACATACAAGCAATAACGATAGAGATAGATGAACATACACGTTGAACACACGGTTGTACTTTTTGGAGTTCGGAATTAGAATCTGCCCCCAAGTGGCGTGTCTTAGAAAGTTAACGACCCGCAGTTGCCACGTAGTCGCGTTGCAGAGGGCAACTGGAGTAAAAATAAAAAGCTAATCTCAGAAGCGTCGCACGAAGACTAGAATAGATTTTTCTGTGTCATTATTCATGAAGATAAACTTTCCGAAGTGATCGCGTCTCATAGATAACTTTCTTTTATATCAATCTAACAAAATAGGGACAATGTTCATTTCTCAGATTTTTTTAATTCGACATTTCGGAGAAGAGAAAAGTAACAAAACATTTTAATTATGAATAGATCTTTGTCAATTAATAAATGAATAAATAGACCAAAGGCACATTTATTTTTAGTCAAGGGTAGTTTCAGGTAATGTAACCGATGTAACATTTCAGGACCGCCCGTGGATGTGGGAGTCACCATGTACGTGCTCTCCATCAGCTCCTTATCTGAAGTGAAAATGGTATTATGAATGTGCAACTACTTTATGTAGATCGTCATACTAGTACGAGATAGGCGAGATTAGCGATCCTTGGCCGAGCAAAGCCGTGTTTCGTTTAGACGAAACAAGGACTAGGTTCGGTCGTGGACTCCGGGCGTCACGTCGTCCTCTGGTTTGGTTTTCACGGCGCGGGGCTCGCGCTACTCACGATTGGGCTTGATTGCAGGTCCGCCAGTGGAGGTGGGCGTCACCATGTATGTGCTCTCTATCAGCTCCGTCTCCGAAGTGCTCATGGTACTCGCCACTGTCACCTCACGCTTGTCTCGGTCGCCCCGGCTCGCTGCGCCGCCGCGACCGAGCAGCCCCAGACACGAGGCTGCGAGCATGCCGGCGTTATGGAGCCGACCTCTCGGAAGACGCACTACTGTCTAAATTACATAAAAACACTAGTTCACTATTTATCAATTGGTTTCAGTGGTGTGCTCATCCGGGTGTGTCTCTATCTTATTAACGACATACTAAAATGTACTTTGCCATTAAGCATCATCCCTCCAAGCAAGATATTGTCGTAAATTTGCTCCATTGTTGTTTTTATTTTATGCTTTTTATGTTCTTGAGTAGGTATTTGTTGTGACTGTGGGTTTCTTACTGTCTCTCGAAATGGCGTTCAGCTCTTCAGACTCGCCACTCGCCTTAAACATTTCTTACTTTACGTAGTCTTGCTATGAATGTATTTTAATGTTTGTTCCGTTGTTCAGTGACTTCCGGTTGGACGAGGAACGTTCTTATATTTGCTTTAGTTTATCTGTTTTATTTTTCCTCTTTTTTTTATAGGAACCAATCATACTTGTGCTTTCCAGTCTGTCGACGGTTTTGTATATTCAGAATTTAAAGTCGTTGTTGACCTCTGATGGTGTGACAATTGACTAACATTCGTTTGTACTCTATGAAAAAGTGGTAACTATTGGGCAATTTCGGAACGTTATTTGGTGTGTGTCAAATGGTACGCCAATACCCTTGAGAACGGTTCCAAAGAACATAATTCAAACTCAGATCAGGGTGTATGACCCCTAGTGGAAACCAAATCAAGGGACTCGTAAAGTCACTTCAGGACGTGACCATTACCGGACTACTATAAAAAATAGAATTAGTAATAGGATATTATAAGAAATAAGCACACGTATTCGTATCGAACCCTTTGAAAACAATAAAAGATTCGAATGTTTGTCTATAATTTAATTTTAGACCTTTGAGATCATGTTTGCAACGAAAGGTTGTTAAAATAATTTTAAATCTTACACATCCTACAAATACTTAAATAAGGGATATCAAATTAAAATAAAACTTCGACAAAATATAACTAAATTATGTACTAACTAAAGATTTATCCCATTCAGATTTGAAACTCCCTCTGGTTAGCACCAGGGATCATAATTTATTATTAAGTATGAGGTTTACCTTTAATGTGGTATACCTAGCACAATAAAAAAAAACTGATGTAAAAAAATATTTTAAGCAGTTTTGTTAAAAGTCATAGTACGTATATGGCACCATTTATATCTCAGAGAAGGACGTTCGAAACTTTTTCTTGTTTGAAAATACAACTCTAATAAAGTTTACTTAAAAAGGATACATTACCTGTGCTTTAGAAATAATCTACAAACTTCCTTAAATTAGAATATACCCCTCCCCCAATAAAAATAAATATTAATTCCACTTCGCGAATGAACGGTTATTTTAGTATATGAGTGACAATTTAATTAGAAGCTTTTCAATCGATACCAGAATGATGTGTTCGTAGCACTCTTAAACGAAATTAACTGTTTATTCCAACATCTCTAGCCCATTTTCTTCTTAAGTATGCGTGTGTACCTACGCGTCCAATTATTTAGCTATTGACTTTTTAAAGTGCTCTACAAATGTTTCTCATATTCATTATAAGACAATATTATATGGGCTATTGATTTTAACAAGCTCCTTTATCTATTTATAAAAGCTGTTCTTACTGTGAGTACCAATTATATTTGAAGAAGTAGGTACTTTCAAATATTTATTCGTACCTATCTTATAATATTTTTCTACTCATGTAAAAATATTACGTATGTTATTCGGAATTGTACAGTCACAGCAGCTTTTATCGTTTCATCAAGTAAAATATTTAATAAATAACGGATGTTACCTGCCCTCGGCTCAGATGCGATTTCAAGTTGCATCCATTATGTCATGGATTTGCATTTAATGCAAAGTCAGAAGCCGTGCAACTGCAGCCTATCACCGGATGGCATCCATTGTTTACCAGTGTAAGTACTCTTTATCCCTGATGTGTTTCTACAACAACTACGACTTTTCAGGATTTCACCCTGGACTTCTACTTCAGGCAGTTCTGGACTGATCCCAGGCTGGCCTATAAGAAGAGGATTGGCGTGGAAACCCTTTCTGTTGGCTCCGAATTTATTAGGAATATTTGGGTACCGGACACCTTCTTTGTTAACGAAAAGCAGTCCTATTTCCACATCGCTACTACGAGCAACGAATTCATTCGTATTCATCATTCAGGATCCATTACACGAAGTATAAGGTAAAAAATTCTGATTCAAATACAGACCATAATATTTGATATTTGATGACGCGCTCCTTTGCCAAAAACGATTTGTTGTTGCAGACTGACTATCACCGCATCATGCCCAATGGACTTGCAATATTTCCCAATGGACCGTCAACTGTGCAACATTGAGATCGAAAGCTGTGAGTTTACCGTTTATAATATTCACTTGGTTCGTCGACAACGATTTTCAATGCGCCCGTTTCTCAAAGATTTTTAGGCATATAGCTTTTTATAACAACAACAGTATTACTTTCCAAAGAAAGCTTTCATGTTTGTACTTAGATAAAATACTACAAATCAATTTGACAACGCTTACGATTTTGGTCATACTATTTGCCAAAAGCTGCCATCCATTCCATTTACCACTTTTAGTAGTTAGTAGAATGTAATCATTTGGTTTACTTCTACGAATAAACTAAAAAACCCAGTGCGATGGGTGCTTGTTATTTTATCGTTCCATATCTCTGCATGGTACAGTCGGCTACACCATGCGGGACATCCGATACAAGTGGAATGAGGGGCCCAACTCTGTCGGCGTATCGAGCGAGGTGTCGCTGCCGCAGTTCAAGGTGCTGGGCCACCGACAGCGAGCAATGGAGATCTCCCTCACCACAGGTACACGAAGCACTGACGCAATCATAGCACTCCCCTTAAAGATCTACTTCCGTTAATACCTTCAAGTTCACACAATTTAGTACGTTATTGACAATTTAAGTAGATTTTAAAAGCCCATATTCGCAACTTGCATGCGGTCGCTTATACCCCATAATTGCGGAACTTAACCCATCTGACCAAATGGGATGTCATCCGGCTTTTACATCAAAATGCATTTAAGTAAAGTGGCGATAATTACTCGTCAGTATTTTATGTCAATTTTATGGTTACAGGAAATTACTCTCGGCTGGCGTGTGAAATTCAATTCGTTCGCTCCATGGGCTACTACTTGATTCAGATTTATATTCCATCTGGACTCATCGTCATCATATCCTGGGTATCGTTCTGGCTCAACCGGAATGCAACACCCGCTCGAGTCTCGCTGGGTGTCACTACCGTGTTGACTATGACCACGCTAATGTCTTCGACCAACGCTGCTTTGCCTAAGATTTCTTACGTGAAGTCCATTGATGTCTACTTGGGCACCTGCTTCGTAATGGTCTTCGCTAGTCTACTAGGTAACAAAAAAGTATCAAACGATCGATTATGTTTAGTGTGTTTGTATCAGGTGTTTATGTAAATATTGTCAGATTGTTTATTATAATAATATAGTAACACATTGTCGATGATTGTATTATGTAATATTGGCGCCAAATATTACATTTGCGTGAGGAAAACTGCATTAATTTAGTTCAAAGCGTTACTAATTAATACTTTAATATGCCGATTGCCATCATAAATCATGACATTTAATTATTGTGACCTTGATGATGTTAATTTGCGACGAAATAATAATATTATCATGTCCAATTATTTACCAAATAGTCCAGTCAATGAATGCTTTAACGACGGTGTAGAGAGAAATCCCTGGAACACAATTTCTGACCTCGGGACTTTATTTAGAATAGTTAGGAGGTGAACATAGCAAAAGTCCCCGCCCTTAGCCCTTGAGCCGGCGAGGAGAGGGGGGTTTAAAGGTACCACTTTTCGGTTTTTCGCTTAATCCCCGGAAACTATGCGTCCTAGTGACATGGCTACTATGAAACAAAAAAAGCTTATTCAATTTGCTACAGGTGAGACAGTCAAGATTTTCTACATATATCTTGTATAGTTTTCGCGGCATCTCCTCTAGAAGGTCTGTAATATTGGAAATTTTAATTTTGTCTTACATGTTCCCATCAGGAGAAAATCGACTAAATCAACATTGAGCAAACATTAAAGACATGCGGGAGCATGTTAAGCCTAGTTCCAGGGAGGGGACTGCATCGTGCGTATATTTAGACGAACCAATTGGAGATACTTTTGACTCCTCATCACTCAAAAAGTACTGTGCATTAACACGTCAAATTTGGCTCATGTGTTGAGACTTGCAAGATAATCGTCAGCTTCAAATTTCATAAATATACCTCAAACGGTTATTTAGGTATTGACGTTCAAAAATCGACATTTAAGACACTAAAATCTATCTATCACCTGTGAAATGTTAAAATTTGCTGGTTTTTTATTTGTTCCTTTGTATTTACACAACTACCTATCTGGATGCCAAATTTGAACCTTCAAGGTCATCTGGAAGTGGTTAGAATTTGGTCTTATAGGTCAGCCATGTAGATTTTAGACGCCAATACCTAAAGAACCGTTTGAGGTATATTTATGAAATTTGAAGCTGATGATTATCTTGCAAGTCTCAACACATGAGCCAAATTTGAAGTGTTAATGCACAGTACTTTTTGAGTGATGAGGAGTCAAAAGTGGCTCCAATTGGTTCGTCTAAATATACGCACGGTGCAGTCCCCTCCCTGGAACTAGGCTTAACATGCTCCCGCATCTCTAGAATATTAGTTCAATGTTGATTTTGTCGATTTTCTCCTGATGGAAACATGTAAGACAAAAATAAAATTTACAATATTACAGACCTTCTAGAGCAGATGCCGCGAAAACTATACAAGATGTAGAAAAACTTGACCATCTCACCTGTAGCAAATTGAATAAGCTTTTTTTGGTTCATAGTAGTCATGTCACTAGGGCGCATAGTTTCCGAGGATTAAGCGAAAAACCGAAAAGTGGTACCTTTAAACCCCCCTCTCCCCGCCGGCTCAAGGGCTAAGGGCGGGGACTTTTACTATGTTCACCTCCTAACTAATCTAAATAAAGTCCCGAAGTCAAAAACTGTGTTCCACGGATTTCCATCTATAATGCTTTATTGACTGGACTAAAAAGCTTGCGAATAAACTGTTAATTTGTAGCAATTGAATTTCATTTTGATCTTTTTTTTTCAGAATACGCAACTGTGGGTTATATGGCTAAACGGATACAAATGAGGAAACAACGATTCACTGCTGTTCAAAAGATGGCTGCTGAGAAAAAAATGCAAATTGATGGTCCACCACCTGCTCCGGAACCGCTGCCCCCACCAAGGACCAGCACTCTTACCCGACCTCTGCCGCCAAGCCGATCTTCGGTAAGATCCAATCGTGTCAGTACCTTTGATTTTCAGCAATTTTTTATGAAGTTTATTGTAAAACATAAATACATGTATGATGATGATGGTTATTTTTTAGAGTTCACATCATCCGCTATGTTTTCCACACACACAGGAAGTCCGTTTCAAAGTGCACGACCCGAAAGCATACTCGAAAGGTGGAACTCTTGAGAATACTATCAACGGCGCTCGAGCTGCTGCCCCCCCGCCACCGCCACAACCGGAGGAAGAAGCTGTACCGCCCCCACACTTGCTTCAGGCTTCAAAGGTAAATACGAACATTTCATTTACCTTTGTGATTTTAATTGCTAATTATGCGAACTGTAAACCGTCTGCTTGAAGGCCTTGCGATTGTTCGGTTTTGGCAAAGCGACGTTCATGGCTTTCAGCGAATTTAACAAATTGATTCATAAGCGCCCGGGGTAATTATCTGCCAAAGTCAAGCTAAAAAATATTTTCAGGGTATCAACAAACTGCTCGGCACTACTCCATCGGACATCGACAAATACTCACGCATCGTGTTCCCCGTTTGCTTCGTCTGCTTTAACCTTATGTATTGGATCATATACCTTCATGTATCGGATGTTGTTGCCGACGACTTGGTGCTACTTGGCGAGGAAAACTAAACGAAAACAACGTGTCTGAATAACGGTTCTCTTCTGTTTAAAACGACGACTACGGCACTTACTTAATTAATTAGGGTGCTTATCATCAACCCTCCAAATTTGGTAATGTGCTTTTAAATAAAAATTAAAAAAAAGAATTGTAATCCCTTAGGACTATGGTAATCATTATTAAGTAATAGTACCTATTTCATAATAATATAATTATAAATAGTAGTATTGTAAGTGGCACTGAAAACGATCTCCTTTTTAATAATAACCTGCAATTTATAATATTCAAATGTGAGTCAGTTCATATGTACTTCTGTCATCGATAAAGACTTAAATAAGACCAAAGGGGTAACTGTTTCATGTGTTTTGTATTCCATCATCAATCATGACAGTACTTTAATAACTTTCTTTGTGCACGATGTTTCTTTTAGGGTAGCTTTTCATATTATCATGATGCTTGTAACTGACTCGTACCTTATATTTTATTATGTACGTTTTATTACTCATACTAAAGACTTATTATTACATTATTCGTAATGTACCTGTGTACATTTTCATGTTTAGAAGAAAAAATTTACTGTAGCTAGTGTATCTATCTGACTTGACACAATAAGCTGGGGAATCAAAAGATCGCCATTTTACATTGTATATTAAAATCATAATAATGTGTAATGTCCTTTAGGGAGGTGCATTGATTATTTGTTGTTGAATTGTTACATTCCTCGAAGAGTTTGATGTAGTATGTACGAGTATGATGGGTGGTTTTATGGGTTTTAAGCTTGTAAAACCACGGAACTGGTCAATAACATCTCAATTAATGTAAAAAGAATACTGTATTGTTGCTGTCATCAATTTCGGTTTATTCTCTAGACTTAGTAGTCCCTAAAGATTAGTGCCTCTTCTTCAGTGGTGACAAAATCACAGTCTGAATTTTCTTACAGTTCCTCCCGTCTTACTAATGAGGTTTTTGAATTTTTGAAAAGAATGTAAAGATCTGATTCAGGGACGAAATATGAAGAGGACTCGAGAGTATAATGTCAGGGGTATAAAAGTAAGATAACTGTAAATATTTATACATATACATTTATACGATTAGGATAACCATACACAATTGCTCTAGTTTTTAAAAAAAATGTTATTCTGTTCAATTTAAAAGTATACACCGGTAATACACTTCAATATTAAATCTAGTGCACAGAACACCTTTTCTACGTAGTTTAAACTTACCATTTAACAAATTTATGTCTACAATATTCATTGATATGAATTTGCCCGTTAGTTTTTGTTAAGCTCTATAAAAGAAGTTATAAATTTATAGAAGTTTGAATTAAATTCACACACTTTAGCAAAACGATATAATAATATAATCATCTAAATCAATAAATACATAGAATGTCAGTAATACAATTAAAATTATTTATTATAAGTATGATATCGTTAGATTATGGGAGGAGGAGGAATTAGCAAGCGAAGTTTGAGGTGTTGTAGTGTTTAGTACTGGGACTGTTTTATTACCCGACTTCATTTTGAGTTTATGGAAATAGATTTTAAGGATTCTAAAGTTTCATAAAGGACTCAATTTACTACATTTCTATCTCATCTGGGTTCTCAGTGTCTTGTATTTGGAACGCTATTTTGGTATTTTATTGGTATTAATAATTATAATATTGTTAATAATCCGTAAATACCGTCCCGTTTAATTTATTAAATAATATTAGTTACAACCACGTCGTAACCAACATGATCGTTGTCAATTAAGTAAGTAATAAGCATTCCATATCACGCTTTATGTTTTTATTGTTAGTCAAAATTCTAGAAACGAGTTACTGCATATTTACAGATCTAAAATGTCCTTTATTTAACAATAATAATAAAATTTACAAATCAATTTAGATTGTAAAATTCATGTCACATATCATTATTTACAATTGATTTACATATTTTCTGGCAAAGCTCGTTTTTTGGAATATTATTGTTTGTACGTTGATGATATTTTAAAAGACTACATATTTTGGCTGTGGTAGTTTAATATCGTTTCAACTACAAGCCACCTTTACTTGGGAACATTTTTTTGTTTCAGTGTTTGCTCAATGTTTATAGTATATCTAGGGGAATGCAAAATTAGACAGTTCTACGGAATATTATTGAATAAGCTATATAAAAATTAAGGTATCGTTAATTTGCCTCCTATTTTATATATAGATGAGAATTTTATTGTACATTTGTTAAGACTAGCTAAATATACTAGTTTACTTGTACCTTCTGATCAATTCTTTTCTATTGTAATCAGATTCGTTATAAATATTTGATTGAGTTTCGCTCCTATCGATTTCTCAAAGACTGAGTATTGTTTCAGTTCCTCGATTGTTGTAATTTGTTTGTTATAAGCTCACAGAATTGTTAGTTACAGGATGAAGCTACCGATAAGCAGTAGGCATATCCTATGTTTTTTGCAGTTTATGGTAAAGTTTATAATTGTATTGATGAATGAAATAAATATATTTTATTTGTTATTTTTAAACATGTTAAGTTTGTACTATAGAGAAATAAATATAATATTGTTATCTTACGATTAGTAGTAACAAGCAGCCAAAATAATTAATTGTACCTAATCTAAATATTAATTACTAGTCAACTTCAAATATATGAACTATGAATAAATAAAATTAAATGTAAATTTGAAAATGGAATACTTGTATAAGATGTGAATTCGCATTATATTGCACCTAGTTGATAAGGAAGTAGCGTAGCTCGGCGCAAGGGGGCACGGGCGGCGCACGGTCCACTGCGGCTCTTGCGCGGGGCGGTCACGTGACGTGCGCCTGCGCACGCGGGCGAGGCTCGGGATTCGGAGGCAGCAATGTCACCAGAAGGCTTCAATCGGAACCAAAACATTTTATATAAATCTATACCCGTGGGCTGCCCGGAAACCCCCTGCGTGAAACCAAATTCTAAATCACATTTTAATAAAAGTTAGAATAATTAAATAAATTATATTATGTGAGTAAATCCATTTATAGAGAACTAAAAATAATTTATTCATATTTAGACGTCAGACGGAGTTTAATAATGTTATTATATATCACGTTTTCATGATTAGAAACGCTACTTACACAAAAAAATACAGTTTAGACACTGCACTCAACGATGAAAGCATTTCTATTAGACAAAAATAAAAGACGAATAATGCAATTCAACGTAGAGTTAGTCCAGAGAAATATATATTTAATTTATCTAAATAAATTTACAGAATCTAAATGTGTAGATTTTCCCTGTCATTTGCTGAAATAAATGTCCGTGTACCTTAAATAAATATGCCGTTGTCCGTTAGAATATAAATAGGTTTTAAATTGTATAATTAATTTGCTATTTATTAAAGTTTTAGGCCTGCAAAAAGCACACGAGATTTTAAGACATAGTTTTGGGAAGTTTATGAAAATGCACGTTACTAAATTGTGATTTACTTGAATACTCATGAAGTGCCAAATTTTGAGGCTGTAAAACTTTTATATTCGCTTTATAAATGGTTTATGTGCTATGTTTTGTCATATCATCTTAAATGTAGCTGGCTAAGCAACGCTGTTGGAAGAAAAAAAAAGTAGAAAATAAATGTGGAATTCTAGAAAAATCTAGGTATCCTTTCTGTCAACAATTTTCCCTGTAATAAAATTCTAATTTTTATTTTGCGCTATCGCTATCTAGTTAACGTATTCCCTGATTGATTTGTTATATTTTTTAACTAGGCAATCTGAAACTAATACGTTAATACGAAAATATGAGTAGCTCTGAATAATCCGATTCGCTTTTAATCATGGACCTAAGTTTCTTGTAATTTACACATATTTTGTTCAGTATACCTATTATATTGTACTTTAAAACCTGTTATCAAGTCAGACGTTGTACACCACGGACCGATCAAGTTGTCTAGGTTAGCAAAAAACGCTTTAGTTATTAATATCTCACTTGAAACTTTATCGTCGACACGACGAAATATTAATAATATCTGATTAGAATAATTTCCTACGTACTATGTTTACGCATTTTTAACCCCACCGAATTGGAATGATTGGATATTGTTGAAATGAACCTAAAATAATTTGTAGCTGTTTATAAATGTTCAAGCGTACTCAACGACTAGTATCTTCACAATGTGTACTTGTATGATGTTCTAACTACTCAGAAACGCGATGTAAACTACTCTCTCTAAACAACAAAATAACTTCTCAAAAATATCTGCCTAGAGAAATAAAGGCATTGAATTAATCATGTCTTTTTTACGACACTTTTGTTTGCAAATTGGCATAAAAGACTCCACATGCGGCGTTTATAAATCAATATTAATAATCAGTTTGTAAAATCCCGATTATTATAGATAATTAATCTTGATTGAAAAGTGTAAACACCGTTCAAGACTACATTAAACCAGAAAAATATCGTTACGAACACATTTAAAAAACTCTTTAATACATGAAAATGAATAAATAAAATGTTTTTAAAAACATTCATCTGAAATCGGACGTAAAAGCAAAATTTCATGAATGAAAATACTCTACAACGCCCTATTTTCAGGCGAGGAAAGGATAAAACTACATACATTTATTCATTTTTTTTAGTTGTTTATTTATAGTTTGAGAAGCGATTCGCTAAGAAATTTTAATAACATTCATTCATATTTTGAAATGAATGTAAGCTGTGATATTTTTTTTATTAGGTGCGAGGCATTTTCATTTGTCATTTCCAGTGTTACTGGATACATCTACTGTAAAGAAATAAAAGGTTTAGTTAATTTACTTTTGTAGTTGACAAATCACAATGTGAGAATAGACGCTGAAAGACAAGCGAGTAAGTGAACATCACAATCAATAATGTTAGAGAAGCGAGTAACCCTTACTCGATCGTGAATAGTTTAACGCGCCATCGCCAGTCCTTTACGCGAACAAGCGTGCGCTCGCGTCGAATCTGACGGGCAACTGAGTCGCGTCGCCGGCTCCCGCAGACAGCGTTCAGCCGGCCGAGCGTTGACCCTGTCTGGTGCCATTCAATCACGAAGTATTTGATAAACTT